CAAATGTGACTGTATTTGAGATAGGGCCTTTAAAGAAATGATTATGTCAAAATAAGGTCATTAGAGTGGGTCCTAATCCATTCTGACTTGCCTTCTTATAAGAAGATGAAATTTGGACACACAGAGAGACACCAAATCACATATGCCCAGAGGGACTATCATGTGACGAGGCAGCAGGAGGGTGGCCATCTGTAAACCAAGGAGAGAGGCCTCAGAGGAAACCAAGCCTCCCAGTGCCTTGATCTTGGACTTCAAAGCTCAGAACTGTGAGAAAATAAATTTCTGTTGTTTAAACCATGCAGGCTGTGGTATTTTGTTCTGGCAGCACTAGCAAATTAATATAGGAAGTGTTTGGAGAGAGTGGGCTTCCTCATGCTTCTCTCTCTTTCTGTTGAGGAGTAAAATCTTCCTCAGTTACTCTCAGCAGACTTTTTCTTAGGTCCTGATGGCTAGCTAAGACTGGGTCAAATGGCCATTGCCTAGCTGTAGCAGAAAAGGCTGCATATGTAAATGTTTGGAATTTGAGCACATAGAAAGTGATGTGGGGTTTTTTGGCAGAAAAGAAGAAAAAGACTAGAAATTACAATTGGGTAGGCAATTAACCATTTATATAAGTTAGAGGACTCAAGGAGTACAAGAGGGACATTTACTCAAATTTTAAAGTTTAGGCAGGCCAATTTGTAAGACTTTGTGCAAGTTAGGAAAAAAATCATCTTTCTCAATTATACTTAATTATATTTTACCACCATCTGCTAGCAGTTTGTTGTAATAACTAACAACAAGTGAACAGTACCTCTTGGACTTGTGGTGGCTTTGATTTCAGGAAACCATATATGGAGAGTAGAATGCTTGAACTGCATCAAGAGGGATAGGTGGCAATTAGATTAAAAAAAGGAGTGGAGTGCTTTGTAGCAGAGGCCACAGAATGAGCAAGGTTACAGAGAAATAAAATACCATGGTGACACTGAGGAAAAAAAAGCTGTTCCATATTATTACAGCTTGAAGCACATGTTAGAGAGCAGTGGGAGCTAAAATGGAGGAGATTGACGGAGCCCGGTCATCACAGATCTGGAAGAAGGACAAGTTTTATGGCTTGAGTAGATGCAAATGTCATCAATATAATTAACACACACAGGAAGAGACAATATAGGAATAGAAGGGAGAAATGGTTTGGACATATTGAATATGACATACTCGTAGAAGCACCCATTGCATAGTGGCTAGAACACTGGCTTAGGTTTTATATGTACATGAGTTCTAATTCTTTTCCCCATCCTTTGTTGGCTCTAGGAGCATGGGAATATTATTTAACCTCTCTAAGCCTTAGTGTCCTCATTTGTGAGATTTAATATAATTATATTTGTACTTGAATCAAGGGTTTTGTAAGGATTTAATATGGTCATGCATATTAGACTAAACATTAAATAAAGCTCTATATGTTAATAAAGTTCAGCTATTGTTCTTCAGTCTTCCTTCTATTCAATCTTCTCCTCATCTTTTTCTTTAATGAAATAAAGATGCCTGTTGGGTTTTTGTGTCTAAAACCCATACAGTAAGTCAGCTTTAGAGATAAATCAGGGAGACATCATCACAAAGTGATTGTTAAAATTTTGAAATTGGATGAGATTATCTGGAGAGCATATCTGGAAAGTCAGAAGAGCAGTGACATTTTACAGAGCATGAGGAATGCTAATTTTTAAGGGATGTGAGAAGAAAGAAATTTCCACTAACGGGTTTCAGGATGTTCAGATAGATAGTAGGCAACTCAAGAAAAAGTTCTTATGAGATCCAAAGATGTGAGGAATTTCAGGTAGAAGTGACTAATTTTTAACACAATAGTTACATTCATAAAAACCCTATATGTAGCAGAAAATTATATGCTGTTTGAAATGTTTAAAGAGAGCAAGTAAGATAAGAACAAAAATTGCCTATTGAATTTAGCATCATGAAGTTCATTGCCAGAGAAATTTTACCTGATAACTAGGGCTGAAGGGGAAGTAGAAACAGAGAATGTCAAGTCTTTAAGACTGAAAAGTAAAGAACAATATCCAGTAGTTGTGAAAGAGTGATACTGTACCAATAGGGCAGACTCTGTTTTTTTTTTAATTAATTTATTTTTTATTGCAGTAACATTGGTTTGTAATATATATATATTTTTTAATTTTTTTGATCATGTGTGTGTAGGGAGTTTGAGCATATTTATAGGCTGAACAGAAGATGATATAAAAGGGACAGAAAAAGATAAAGAAAAATGCAGAATTATCTACAGAGTTAATTTTCAGTGAAGACAAGATGGATAAAATGAAGAGCAGAGAGAGAAGAACTTGGCCTTCTACTAAAAATGGATAGTTCTCCAGAATTAACCAAAAAGGATGCAGAGAAGGGTCTATAAGTTTATAGGTGAGATAAAATAGGGAAAGGATTGTTTCTGTGGATTGCCTCTTGTGATTTCACCATTGGGAATGGACGGTAACAAGTAGTTCCTATCCACAAAATGGCATTTACCCCCCTGCAGTATAGCAATATATGGGGTGTGCTGAAGTGCCAGAGAGCACACGAAGTGCTCAAGTTCACTTGCCTGCAACTGAGGCCCTCACTTGGTAGAAGAATCTAAGGAAGATAAACAGTAGCATTCCACCACGTTGCCTTCCTTTCTTACCTTCTTGAACACTTCCAATTGTAGGAGAGATGGTAGAATTTACCATGTAAAATTTATATAAGAGCTGAAAAGTTAATCTTAGAGCCTCTATATTGTCATTGAAAGAACTCGGTGAAATGGATGTCTCTTCTCCATCTTAGTTTATAGCATGGGCCTTACTTGAGGTGACCATTTATGTTTGTTCTTAGTAGAATAAGTGTCTCTGGGTGTCTGCTGAACAGATATTTATATAAACTTTTGACTTGTCTAAGTTTGCTATATACCGTAGAGTTCATGATAAAATAATGATGGGAGATTAGTAACGGTTTCAGCTCCAATTCATTTCCTATATTCCATATACTGCTCACTTTCTCTTTTCTCAGTTCTGTGTTTCACGCAAGAACTTTACTTTCTGGTTAATTTTAACTAATTAATTCTGATTAATATTCAAGAAGAATGGAGTTTTTGAGGAAGAGAAATTTTGGGGATGGATAGACAGAGTGGCCCCTTGCTGGAAACCAGTCTAAAAGATTTTGGATGAAATTTATCAACCCAACTTGTACCTTTGCTCTGTGACCTCAGAGAACATTCTTTCTGAAAGGTCAGTCTCTGAAACTATACCCATTCCCTGTCCTCATCACATTTGTTTATAAAAGAAAGTCTCTACTATGGCTTTCAAGCCCAGTAAGATCTAACTCCTGCTATCTTTCTGACTTCACTTCCTAACCCTCTTAAACTCACTAACTTCATTTCTATCCCTGGCCTTCTTGAAGGTCCTGGACCCATCAAGCTCACTTCTATCCCAGGGAATTTGCATTTGCAGTTTCCTTTGTAGATTTCTCTGCTCCCAGTGTTCCTTCTCCAGATCCTCATGCCTGGTTTCCTCACTTCATTGGTCACTGCCCATATGTCACATTATCGGGGAGGCCTTCCCTTAATGATACTCTGCACCCCTCCCCACACTCAGCACAATTTGTCGTATTTGCCTTGATTTATTTTTCTCCATAGCACTTATTACTATTTGGTGTATGATATATTGTTTTTTTAATTGTCCACTTTTCTCTCCCTTTGATATTGAAAATTCTAAATCCCAAGGGCAAGTTCTTTTCTGTTTTATTCAACATTGTATCCCCAGCACTTTGTACAGGATCTGGAATGGTACATTTTTATTGAATGAATGAATGAAAGTAAGAATTGACAAATAAAATTATAAATTATAATATAAATATAAATCAGTTTATATGTAAATTATTATTATTATTAGCATCATAAATCACAGATTAGAAACATCCTTCCACTAGCCCCCAAAAATCTTTGTGCATATTTGGATAAAACACCCTTTCCTCAAAACATGTTACTGTCATCTGCAGGATAATTGTCATGCTAATTACACAAATCTATGATAACTACAATAGGAAACGTGTATCCTGGAATTGGGCAAGGCATCATTATTTGTGTGTGTGTGTGTGTGTGTGTGACTGTGTGTGTGTAGGCTCTGGTTAAAAGCTATCAGCTAGTTCTTTGCTAGAGAGTTAAAGTGTGACATATTATATCATTTCCAAATTTAAGATTCTTGAATTTTAAGACAAGTTTTGATAGGTAAAACAATGATCAACAGAAATAAATACTTTTATAAAATTTATATATATTTATGTGTATGTGGGAGAGAATTCTTAAAAAAATCAAAATTCTGGAAAATGATCCATCGTTCCATTTGGGAGTAAAGAATATATTTGTTTCCAAAATACAAAATTAAATGTATGTCAAAAATAGTAATATATACTTAATGCAAATATTAAAGTATTATATTAAATAGTGAAGTATTCTAAACCATTAATACCTGAAAAGATCTCAATATTCTTAATATGAGTTAAATTGTGCTTATTATAGGAGAGCTATCCTGTATTACCAGTTATGTAAAATCTCTGCATGTTCTACAATATGACATGATGCTTTTATAAAATTTTATATTAACATCTTTCAGAAAGAAATAAGTACATATATTTTCAGGAGGAATAGTGGCATGGTAGGGCAGGTCCAAAAGTAATGAATCAGTAATTTCAAAACTTGCCTCTATTTCTCACATATTGAGAGTGACAAAATGGTAAATTTGAAAGAGATCTCCAGGGATACACATATTGTGCACAGTAACTTGAATTGAAAGTCTCTTAGATCAAAGGAAATTGAAATATCATTAACAGAGAAAAACATCTTCTAGGAGTGTGTATCAATTTAACACTTCAGTTCCCAGTCCTGCAATAAACGCAGATTGCTCCATTTATGACTGATCTTACTATTTAGTGTCTTGCGATCCAAAGGAATGCGTTTACTTAGCTATATTGGTTACTAAAGTAGTTGTTAAAGAATTGCATTGTAAGCTCTGAAATCCCATTTCAACTAAGCAATAGTGTGCAAGGTGTGTAGGTGTATAGATAAGGAGATCTTAGAGGTTCCCAGTGCTATATTAAATTCTGAAATGAGACATGACTCTTGCCACTTAGGTGAAAAAGAAAAAAATTATCCAAACTTCCCTACAGTGTTTCAGTGTAAGAGAGATTGACATAAGATATAGAACATTAGAATACCCAGGAGATGATTTTAAGTTCCTATTAACAGCATGACAATATTAGTTATTTTAACATAATCATTGTAGCTCTTGATAAATAAGATCCATTCTCTTCCAAGATTTTATGTCTTGCTTTTTATTTTACATGAAATTGTATAGCAGATGTCGAGTTGGAGGAAGATGGATTAAGAGATATTCCTAGATATTATAAACTTAAGTATAAACTCTATGGACATTAAATGAAAAGCAAAATATAAACTTAGTTACATTTTAGAAAATAGGCAAATACTATTTCCAAGAGAAAAAAATATAAATTTGTGAGTCTGAGTGCTTTTTCCAATTATCGATATTAATATAGTGATCTAATTTTGAGTTACATCATATTTAATTCTTCATTAATAATTAAGTACTGAAATGTAGAAATGATTTACTTTTTAATCATTAAGAGAAAATTTGTGTACATATATTTATAGTTATATCAATTTCATTTAACTTGCTTTAGACCATGCCTTATTTATTGGGAGCAACAAATCAATTGTATTTAGAGCCATCATATCAATTAGCTTTTGTTGTGACCATCCCAAAAGTCAGCGGCATACAGTAATTAACATGTACTCCTCATGTGTCTGCAGCAATCAGCTGATTTAGAGAGGGTTTTGTTGATTTCGGCTGGGTTCAATCGTCTATCCGCTGTTTCTGCTATTTTTATCTTCCTCCTGAGATCAGTGGACCAGTGTAGACATATCCCTTTCACTGCAATGGCAGAGGCCAAGCAAGCAGAAACATACAAAGTCCCTTGAGACCTAGGCTCCGAAGTGACAGACGGTCACTTCTGCTCTCCTTCTACTCACCAGAGCAAGTGACATCACTGAGTTTATATTCAACTGCCTTTTTAGTTGCAAGAAATTGCAAGTGATATGGCAAAAGGCATGATACAGGGCAGAGTGTAAAAGAATTAAAGAATTCTTCAAGTTAGGAACAGAAGAACAAATCAATTGAATTGAAAAAATAAAGAATTAAAGCTGTCAATGGAATCAGCTATCTTTTCTAAGTTACTTTTGCAGACAGGGAAAGAGTCCAAAATGAACACTAATTGTCTTAAAGATGAACCAGGATTAATTTATTCAGTTGAGAGTTATCAGAATTACCTATAAACATGGTTTTACCAATAAAGATATTAACTTATTTCATCTAGCAAGTGCCATTATTGGGAGTCGCAAATACCGCATTTTTTACAAGTTGAAGGTTTGTGGTAACCCTGTGCCAAGCAATCTATCTGTGCCATTTTTTCAAAAACATTTGCTCACTTCATGTCTCTGTGTCACATTTTGGTAATTCTCACAATATTACAAACTTTTTCATTATTATTGTATTTGTTATGGTGATCTGTGATCAGAGATCTTTGATTTTACTATTGTAACTGTTTTGAGGTGTCACAAACTGCACTCATGTAAGATGGCGGACTTAATAGATAAATGTCGTGTGTGCTCTGATTGCTCCACTGACCGGCTGTTCTCCATCTCACTTCCTCTCCTCAGGCCTTCCTATTCCCTCAGACACAACAATATTAAAATTAGGCCAGTTAATAACCCTACAATGGCCTCTAAGTGTTCAAGTGAAAGGAAGAGTTGCACATCTCTCACTTTAAATCAAAAGCTAGAGATAAACACGCCTAGTGAGGAGGGCATGTCAAAAGCCAATATAGGCCAAAAGCTGGACCTCTTGAGCCAAACAGTTGGCCAAGTTGTGTATGTAAAGGAAAAGTTCTTGAAGGAAATTAAAAGTGCTACTCCAGGGGTCAGCTCGGCGGTGCAGCAGTTAAGTGCGCGCGCTCCGCTTCAGCGGCCTGGGGTTGGCAGACTCGGATCCCAGGCGCGCACCGCCACACCGCTTGTTAAGCCATGCTGTGGCGGTGTCCCATATAAAGTAGAGGAAGATGGGCATGGATGTTAGCCCAGGGCCAGTCTTCCTCAGCATAAATAGGAGGATTGGCATCGGATGTTAGCTCAGGGCTGATCTTCCTCACACACACACACAAAAAAAATGCTACTCCAGTGAACACATAAATAGTAAGAAAGCAAAACAGCCTTATCTCTGATATGGAGCAAGTTTTAGCGGTCTGGATAGAAAATCAAACCAGTCACAATATTCCCTTAGGCCAAAACCAATCCAGAATAAGGCCCTAACTCTTCAATTCTATGACAGCTGAGACAGGCGAGGAAGCTGCAGAAGAAGAGCCTGAAGCTGGCAGAGGTTGGTTCATGAGGTTTAAGGAAAGAAGCCATCTCTGTAACAGAAAAGTGGAAGATGAAACAGCAAGTACTGCTTGTGCAAGTGTTAATGTAGAAGATGCAGCAAGTTATCCAGAAGATCTAGCTAAGAGAATTAAGGAAGGTGGCTACAATAAACAACGGGTTTTCAATGTAGATGAAATAGCCTTATATTGGAAGAAGATGTCATCTAGGATTTCCATAGCTAGAGAGGAGAAGTGAATGCCTGGCTTCAAAGCTTCAAAAGACAGACGGACTCTCTTGTTAGGGGCTAATGCAGCAGGTGACTTTCAGTTGAAGTCAGTGCTCATTTAGCATTCCAAAAATCCTACAGCCCTTAAGAATTATGCTAAATCTACTCTGCCTGTGCTCTATAAATGGAACAACAAAGCCTGGATGACAGCACATCTGTTTACAGCATGATTTACTGCATATTTTAAGCCCACTGTTAAGACCTACTCCTCAGAAAAAAGGTTTCTTTCAAAATAGTACTGCTCATTGACAATGCACCTGGTCACCCAAGAGCTCTGATGGAGAGGTACAACGAGATTAATGTTGTTTTCATGCCTGCTCACATAACATCCATTCTGCAGGCCAAGGGTCAAGGAGTAATTTCAACTTTCAAGTCTTACTATTTAAGAAATTTATTTTGTAAGGCTATTATAGCTGTCATAGATTGTGATTCCTCTGATGAATTTGGGCAAAGTAAATTGAAAACCCTCTGGAAGGGATTCACCATTCTAGACGACATTAAGAACATTCATGATTCATGAGAAGAGGTCAAGATGTCAACGTTAACAGGAGTTTGGAGGAAGTTGATTCCAAATCTCATGGATGACTTTGAGGGGTTCAAGACTTCCGTGGAGGAAGTAACCGCAGACGTGGTGGAAATAACAAGAGAATTAGAATTAGAAGTGGAGCCTTAAGATGTGACTGAATTGCTACAGTCTCATGATAAAACTTGAATGAATGAGGAGTTGCTTCCTATGGACAAGAAAAGAAAGTAGTTTCTTGAGATGGAGTCTATTCCTGGTGGAGATGCTGTGAAGGTTGTTGAAATGACAGCAAAGGATATAGAATATTACATAAACGCAGTTGGTAAAGCAGTGGCAGGGCTTGAGAGGATTGACTCCAATTTTGAAAGAAGTTCTACTATGGGTAAAATGCTGTCAAACAGCATCACATGTTACAGAGAAATCATTCACGAGAAGAAGAGTCAATTGATGAGGCAAATTTAATTGTTGTCTTTTTTTTTTTAATGCTATCGTAACTTTTTTTTTTTTTTTTTGAGGAAGATCAGCCCTGAGCTAACGTCCATGCCAATCCTCCTCTTTTTGCTGAGGTAGACCGGCCCTGAGCTAACGTCTATTGCTAATCCTCCTCTTTTTTTTTTTCCTCTGCTTTTCTGCCCAAAGCCCCAGTAGATAGTCATACGTCATAGTTGCATATCCCTCTCTAGTTGCTGTATGTGGGATGCCGCCTCAGCATGGCTGGACAGGCAGTGCATTGGTGTGCGCCCGGGACCCGAACCCAGGGCCACCAGTAGCAGAGCTCAAGCACTTAACTGCTAAGCCACGGGGCCGGCCCCAATTGTTGTCTTATTTTAAGAAATTGGCACAGCCACCCAGCCTTCAGCAACCACCACCCTGATTGGGCAGCAGCTATCAACATGGAGGCAAGACCCTCCATCAGCCAAAAGATTATAACTCGCTGAAAGCTCAGAAGATGGTTAACAATTTTTAGCAATGAAGTATTTTTTAATTAAGGTATGTACATTGTTTTTATAGATATAATGCTGTTGCACTTAATAGACTACAGTATAGTGTAAATATAACTTTTACATGTACTGGGAAACAAAAGTTTCACATGATTTGCTTTATTGCGATATTCACTTTATTGCGGTGGTCTGGAACCGAATCTGCAATATCTCCGAGGTATGCCTGTATATAAGAGGAGATGTATTAGAGAAATTGTCTCAGACAGTGGTGAAGGCTGAGAAGTCCCACGATCAAGCTGGAGAAACAGGAAAGCCAGTGATATGATTCACTCGGAGTCCAAAGGCCTGAGACTCGGTGGGAAGGAGGGATGGCCATTGGTGTAAGTATTTGCCTGAGCACTGATGTCCAAGGACAAGAGAAGATGGATGTCTCAGCTCAAGCAGAGAGAGTAAATTCACCCTTGCATTGCCCTTTTGTTTTATCCAGGCCATCAATGGATTGGATGATGCCCACCCAGATTGGTGAGGGCCATCTGTTTTACTCAATCTACTGATTCAAGTGCTAATCTCTTCCAGAAACACCCACATAGACACTGCCAAGAAATAATGTCTTATCAGCTATTTGGGTATCTCTTAGGCCAGTGAAATTGACACATAATATTAGCCATCAGAAGCTCCAAGTACTACGTCTTTACATAGAAGGGTCCCAAGAAGGAAAACGTGGTGGGGACAAAGGACCACTCTGTTATCAAGCAGAAAATTTTTCTCAGAAGCTCCCAGCAAGCTGTCATTTATATTTCATTGCTTAGAATTGAAATAAATGGCCACATGTAGACTAATTACCTGAAAGAGGAAAGGTACCTTCATGATTGACTTAGTCTTGATTTAGTTGCTCTCTGGGCACACTGCCATGCACTCAAAATTAGGGTTCTCTTGGCAAGGAAGAATATGGGGAAATGGCTGTTGGGTAGGCAACCAATGATGTTATACAGACTAAATGCTGCAAACAACTACGCCTGTAACGTGCATTAAATATCAGCTCTAATCCTATATATAAAGGTCATTCTTGTATATTTTTCTTTTGGGATTCTATAAGCTAAGTGTATGTCATTGTGAATTAGCTGTGACTTAATTCTATTTGGAGTGTTCCTATAATCTAAGAGGAGCTTGATGAATTTCTTTTTTCTTATACAATATTCTAACTGTCTTTTCATTTAGTTTGGTAAACTGAAAAGAATTATGCCTCCAATTTAGTTATTCTCAGAAGGTAGATCTTTATTTATATGAAGAAGAAAATACCTGACATGCTAGTCTTAAATTTTACCTAGACTATGTACTTGAACAGGACTTTCCCATTATGCTTCCCAAAATATCCTCAGATTTTGCAACAATTACATGAAAATATTTGAAGTGTTTTGTGTTATTTTTCCAACAGTGAAGATGGCAGGAAATGGTTATGATATTAAGGTGGCTGTATAATATCCCATTTTTAGAATAAGAGCAGATTCACTGAAAGGTTGTAACAAGTATTCTCGTTCTTGTCTGTTTTCTTTAGGGTTCTCCAACCCAAATGTTATTGACTATATGTGTGATGAACTACATTAAGCAGATATCACAAGGATGTGCTTAGCAAACTTTCTAAATCGAAATAGATCAGATCATAGTCTGCTACTTTAAGCAGAATATTTGTCAATAAGTTTTTAAAAAGCTATATGTCTTACAATTCTAATTGAGCCTCTTGTTTTTGCACAGGATAACATTTCAAATTGAATTTGTACTATGCCCTCATGAATATTGCTATTTTAAAAATATAATCCCATAAAAGCTTATAATTTTATGTAAATTTACTTTGTTTAGATGTACACATTAATGCCAGTTTCATAAATATAGATGTGATAAGGAAATATAAAAATATATAATAACTAGAAATCTGGGCAAGTTGTAAAGAAGCCCTTCTATTTACCCAACACTTTGCTGCAACTGTTAAAGATATTATACTTAATTTTATATTTAATATTTTCATATTCATTTACCACCTTTATTGAACACTTACTATATACTAGACATCAAGGACCATTCTAGGCATTGAGGTTGAGGTTACAGCAATTTTCAAACCACAAAATAAAGTTATTTCCACAGAGCTTATATTTTAATGGGAGAAGAGAAAAAACACACCAAGAAACAAATATATAAATATGAAATATGTGAGTTATTAATAAGGGTTATGGAAAGAAACCATGAGGGATAAAGTTGACAAATAATAATAGAAGTTGTTATTTTACCTTTGCTTTTGGTTTTTACTGTTGTCATTCTTTTATTTTGAATCATAGCATGCATCAAACAAAATTTTGGAAATTTATATGTATAGTACAAAGGACAATAATAAAACCAGCCCATATGCCCATTACCTAGGCCAAAAGCTAAACACTCATAGTTTAACAGAATCCTCCAACATAGCTCTTCCTATAGCCATCCTCCTTTTTCCCCTAAAGAGGAAACCATAGTCCTGAATTCTCCTAAAGAGGAAAAAATGTATTACTTTGTTTTTTAATTTTCTATAAATGGAAAGGTATTGCATGTGTGTTTCTATGAACATCTTATTTTGTTTGATGTCATATTTTGAGATCTAATCATGTTAATGCATGTAACAGTAGTACATTCACTCTCATAACTGTATGGTATTTCATTACATGAATATTCAATAATTTATTCTTAATGAATCTGACAGTTTCTAGAGTTTTTTCCTCCTATCATGAACAAGACCTGTGAATATTCTTGTAGCACTGCTCCTTGATTCATTTGTATGCAAAACTCTAAAGAATATACATATTTGTATGTTAGTTGCAAGATATACACATGCTCAATATCTTTAAATAATACTAAGTTATTTTCCAAAGGAGTTGCACATGGAACAGAACCCAAGGGGAACAGCTAAGACAAAAATAAGTAAATGGAAATTAAGCTGCCACACATTACAGAGGAGAATTTGTATTTTGAGTCAGTTAAGTTCCCACTAAATGAATAACAACAAAAAAGAATCTGTATTCTTCAGAGGGATATAACAAAACTCAGAGTCTCTAAGACATATCACTTACAATGTCCAGGACACAATTCAAAATTACTCATATGTGAAGAAACAGGAAAATTATTCATAAGAGAAAATAAAATCAACAGAGAGAAACTTGAGATGAATGACCCAGATGTTGGGATTAGCAGACCAGGATTTAAAAGAAGTAATCAAAACAATGTTCTGAGACATAAATAAAAATATACTTGTAATGAGCAAACAAATAGAAAATTTACAGCTAAGAAATAAAAATTAGGGGCCGGCCCCGTGGCTCAGCGGTTAAGTGCGCACGCTCTGCTGCTGGCGGCCCGGGTTCGCATCCCGGGCGCGCACCTACGCACTGCTTCTCCGGCCATGCTGAGGCCGTGTCCCACATACAGCAACTACTGAAGGATGTGCAACTATGACGTACAACAATCTACTGGGGCTTTGGGGAAAAAGAAATAAATAAATAAAATTATAAAAAAAAAAAAAAAAGAAATAAAAATTATAAAATGAACCATTAAAAATTCAAGAATTGTAAAACAATCATTGACATACAAAATTCACTCAATGAGCTTAAGAGCAGAATAGTGACAAATGATGAAAGAAAAGAATGTGATTATAAACAAACAAAAGTTATCCAGTTTGAAAAAAAGAAAGAATAGATTTTTTTAAATGAAGAGCCTCAGCTATCTGTGTAATAACAAAAGTTCTGATATACAAGTATTTGGAATACCATAAGATTTTTTTTTTTTGCTGAGGAAGATTCACCCTGAGCTAACATGTGTTGCCAACCTTCCTCTACTTTATATGTGGGTTGCTGCCACAGCATGGCTGATGAGCAGTGTAGGTCCACGCCTGGGATCTGAACCCGCAAACCTGGGCTGCTGAAGCAGAGTGTGCCAAAATTAACCATGATGCCACAAGGCTGGCCCCTACCATAAGATTTGAACAGCTACTTCACAAATGAAGATATACAAATGCCCAATAAGGAGATGAAGAAGAGATTAATATCATTATTACCTCAATGAGTTATGACTTTACACCCACAGAATGGCTAAAATTAACAAGATTGACCATATCAAATATTTTGATAATATGAAGCAACTAGAGCTCAGAATTGTTGATCCTCATGTAAAATTGTACAGTTGAAATGCTACAACTGATGAGAATTGATAATTTACACAAAAAGATTTATTCACAAAAAGAAAATTCATAGCAGCTTTTTTTCACTATAGCTAAAACTAGAAATATTCATCAACAGGAGAATAGAGAAACAAAACTGTGATGTATTCATTCCATGGAATACTACTCAACAATAAAAAATAAATAAACTACTAATACATACAACTACATAGATAGGTCTCAAAAATATTTTGCGGAGTGAAAAAAATAACAACACAGAGAAAATATACTATGATTCAAATGATATGGAGTTCTAAACAAGCAAAACTAATCTGCGGTATAAAAAGAAAATCAGTGTGCTGTTTATTTCAAAGGGGATTGTATAGGCAGTATTGACTGAGAAGCTTTATGTGTGAAATTTCTAGGATGATGGTAATGTACTGTACCTTGACAAACGTTTCACTTATACAGGAGTTATAGGCGATGGTCAAACCCTTGTAATGATCTACTTATCATTTGTGCATTTCATTGTATGAAAAGTTTATCTCAAAAGAAAAAGTAAACATAAAATAATATGGAATTCTAGTTAATTTTATGCCTTCTAAAATATTTAGGACTTAGTTTCAAATGCATCAAGAATAAGATGGATTGATAAATGCATAGATGCATGGAGAGAAGGAAGATATTTGTTAAAGCCAGTAAAATAAAATGTTAACTTGACATTAATTAACCATTCTGTAGGTTTGAAAATTTTCAGAATAAAGTGTTGGCAAAAGAAAAAAAAAAGAGGACTGAGTGAATGAAGAGAGTGATGCCATGTGGCTATTTGCAGAAAAAAAAAGCCTTCCGAGAGAAGAAATAGAAGTGAAAGTCCCCATGGCTGAAGTGTGCATACAGGC